TGCGCGGTGAGAGGACTTTTAATGCCACGAGGCGGAAAAAGGAATGCCCATATTGCTAGACTTCCCCAACCTGAATATCGTTGTTGATGTTTTGCGCATGTTTTGTTTCCATCTAGTATTCCGATAAAAAGTTAGTAACAGAAGGTTCAATTTTCCTAATTTTTTCCGATATTTCCGACGTCTGGTCATTTGCTATTTTCCAGTGTTTAGGCCGTAAAGAACAGCATTTACCTAAAAATAACTTCGTCGATAGCTTTTAAAGACTAATGCGTGTGCTTTCTTTCACTATTATTTCAATCTAAATTTTATGTAGGGTTCTATACTTTGATCATTTCTAAATACTTTATAGTAATGATATCCTTGGAAAACATTTTCCATTAAAAACTTACAAAATTATAATATATTGTCTTTTAGGCATTATTACTTAAATATGCATGAAAATATTTATTCCGATCTTTAAATAGAATAATTTCTTTTATTTCTTCATTTTAATTTTGTCGAGTAATCTAACATTTGAAGATGATTAATTCATAAACTCTCAATTTATAGGTATATCAAATTTATTGACTCATTAAAAGGTAATAATGTATGTGTCATTTATGTTTGGTTAATATAAGTTCATTACTTGATAGTTTATTTTTAATACATTCAAAGCTTACCATGAAATAGAATTTTGCCTGATTCCCACTTCTGATTCTTGTTGAACATAAATCTCTGTAACTATATATATTAATTTCAATTCTAATAATAGTTAATTTTAAATATGCTTTCACTGTCGTTAAATTATAAATAAACACTAAGCATAAGTTACAAAACAAAATGCTACTTTCAAATAAAAAAAGCGATCAAAGCAAAAATGGAATTTTAATCTACTGCTTATAAATAAAATCCGAATGTTTAAAAAGCTAGAATTATTGACCAATTAACACTAGTTTCCTTTCGAAAAGCCTGTTTCTCTTGATTAGCCTAAAACAGCATTAGCTCAGAAGGGTTGTTAGTCTCAAAACGGCATTTTGCGTTGAGTCACTAAAAGCGCTAAATCTCTTTTCAAATTGTTGCAACCAAATATTATCGACCTGTATTATATCTAAAGAAAGTAAATAATGAAGAATCTACATGAATGTATACATGTTTCTTGCACTGCGAAAACACAACGGTACCTTAGTGTCATCAAATTTTAAACAACGTAGTCCTCCACCCGAACATGGGCATTTAAAAGCGCGAATTTTGAATATGGAATTTGTTTTACTGTCCATTTTATATTTTGTAAACCTTTAATGAATTCTTGATTCACAGACTCAACGATTTCGCAACCAGCAAATGCAACTGTACGAAAGAAAAAAAAACATTTTCATCTCTATAGCGCAAGATTGTTTATCAGAAATCCATAAGATATACTGTTTTTACATATTTTGTGATATCGCTCTTTAATTTAATTTTATGTTGTTTAAGTGCGAAGAACATGCATGAAATTTAGTAAATGAAGGTAACGTACAAAACATTAAAAAAAACGCTCCTTTGGGCGTAATATAAAATCTCAAATTTTATTCACTTTTCCTTTGTTCCCCCTTTTTCGTTTTAGCCCGAAGGTCGGTAGAAGGGGTATTAATTTCAAAACGACATTTTGCGTCGATTCACTTTTAAAACTGTTGCCACTAAATATTATCACCATGTATTGTATTTAAAGAAGCTAATTAATAAAGACTACCGAACAAAAAGGGTGGTGGATGATGATTCTCCACACCTAGGATTTTGCGATTGAATCCCCTAAAAACCCCAGTTGCCCTTTGAAAGGGGGGTATATAAAGTATTTCTCCCGCCTTCTTGTCATGCCTTCGTGGTATGGTGGTCTGCACGCTAGGCGCGTATTCCAGAGGTCCGTGGTTCGATTCCCGGAGAAGGTGTTTCTCATTTTTCGTTTTTCCTGCTTCCAAAATCCCTAATGTCTCTACAAGTCTTCCAACGGAACATGGGAACTTAAAAAAGCTCGAATTTTTAATTTCGAATTTGTTTATTATCTATTTCAAATTTTGTAAAATTTTAACGAATTTTTTATTAGCAAGCTGAACGATTTCAAGCGAGCAGTGGCAATACTGTATAGAAAAAAACATTTTCATCTCCAGCGCTCTAGACTGTGTATCGGAAATTCTAAAAATATGCTTTTTGACTGTTTTTAAATATTTTGTGATATTGCTGTTGAATTTTATGTTATTTCAGTGCGAAAAACACGATATTTAATAAATAAAGGTAACAAAGAAAACATTAAAAAGAAACGTCCTTTTGGGTGTAATATGAAAATCTGAAAGCTTTCAGATTTTATTTTCCTCCCCCCCCCTTTTCCAGTAGGAATAATGCATACGGTATACGTTTGTAAGTTTGCTACACAACCGAATATGTAATGTTGCTAAATTGCAGCTTTTACAGGTGCGGAAGAAGTTCTGCAATCGGGCTTCGTGCAACTAGTTTTCCTTTTCGACTTTCTTCATTAAAAGAAGGATAGAAATTAGGATTCAAAGCACAAATAAAAAAAAAAAAAAAAAAAAGAAACTTGAGACAAATATATTCCGAAATATACCTTCATTTTTTTTTCCGGACAGTTTCGGAAATTCTACAATTATAAGACTGATGTTTTATTATTTTAATATAAGATAAAATTTATTCAAAAAATTACAAATATATCGCTTTTTTTTTGTTTTTTTTTTTTTTTTTTTTTTTTTTTTTTTTTTTTCAGAGTCTAGTAAGTCTCCACTCTCATCATGGTACTCTACAAGGAATTATTTATTTGGTTGCTTAAATTAAAAACTGTGCAAGAAACTTCGAAAAAATTATTATTTTTAAATTTTTGTTTCGTTGATTTAAATCTGAGATCAAAGTAAAATATTTCTTAAATATGTTTAAAATATTATTAAATTTCACAGAAAGATTAAATGAACAGGAGGTAGTTTACAAATACATGATTTTAAATACATTTTTTAACATTTTATAATTTAAGACAGTAAACATTTAAAATCAATTAGTCATTTTAAAGTTTCCTCTTACGAAAAGTGGTTTCAATTTGAATTAGAACTTTAAAGTACCTATACAAACTATTCACGAAATATTTTGAAGCACATAAACAGTTAATTTATTATTTCCTTATACATATATTTTGAATAGTAAATTTGCAAAAATTCCTCATTCACATTCATTATGAAAATAGTACATGTCGTATGCCAGTATACATATTAATCTGAAATCTGATTTTGAGTAAAAAAAGTTGAAAATGACAAGTTAGCGAAATAGGACATTTCGATTTAAGCAATAAAGTTTTCTTAAAAAGATTAATTATTCAGTATGTTTTTAATTGCATTTAACTCACGTGCCATTTTTTCGTCTGTTATTATTACTTTTTTCCTGTTCATTTTTTTTTATTTATTTCATTCAGGAAAACAACATATTTCCATTTGTATATTTATTTATTAATATATGATTCTCGTATTAGTAGTATATTTAATATTACTTTAATAGTTTTCAAATTATAAAAATTATTAGTATCTATATCAAAAACTATTATTATGTTTAGATATGTTTAGACGTCGACTGATTGTAAAAAAATCAAATATATTTTCTAAAATTCTTAATATCGTGTTTTGTATATTTATGTTGCTTGATCATATTAGAAATTTGTTTAATTCAGTCTAAACTAAAAATTATTTTCACAGGAAGTCATATTCGACTCATAATTACGTCTAACCTAAAAATGTTTGTTAACGATATTCGACTCATTACAGACAGCTATAGCTGAAAAATCTATCTCTAATCCAGCTCTTTCGTTTAGACATTTTTCTTTCGTCGTAAAAGTTTCGGTCTAATTTATTAGGATTCTGAGAATAAAGAAACGTTACAAAAATGAAATCTCAAAGCCTTCTCAATTTCTTTTCTGCCAACCCAACTTTGACAAATGAATGACTGTCATTAATATTTTTTTGGTATAGCTTAAGCACTACTTTGAAATTCATGTAGAGAAAATAAGATAAAATTAAATTAAATATTAAATATACAAATTAATTAAATATTGCCTTTTTATTTAATTTAAGTATTTGCTATCAAATAGAAATAAATGCATTTTGTTTTCTTTACAGTTATTGACTAAAAACATTCATCAGTTTTAATACTGTTTGTCAGTTCCTCGAATCTAACCTAAGATTAAGTAAACTTATATTTCTTCCTTTTAAAATCCACAATGTATACAAACTGATGTTTCCTAAATTTAAACATAGTGAATGATAGCACTTTTAACATTTACCTGTTAATACACTAAGAGTTTTTTTATTTTGTTTATTTATTACAAACAACAGTTTGATATCTAACTTTAAAACAGCCATGGTTATATATATGACCGTTTTTTTCACTAAACCAGGCTTCATCCTTTAAACCTATCCTATGTTAACAAGAAAAGACTTTGTAAAATGTGATAAGAATTATTTTGAAAATGTGTTCGAAAAGGAGTCACGAAATCGTAGCCTGTAAATGTGGATGATCAACAATAAATGAGAAAGTATTAAATAGAGCTCAATTTTAATACACTAAAGACAGTTTCGCATCAGGCATTTCAAAAATTCTCGATGTAAAACACTCAACTAAACTGCGTTCGTTTGACTTAATTATGCGTTCTGTAAACTGCGTTGACAAGATTTTAATTTAAGCCCCAACTATTTTTAGAATTGCATTTACACTGAACAAAATGCACCGTACTTAAGCAAGAGTTTCTTTTCCATGACAGGGTGCAAAGGAATACCTTGACAATGTCATGAATAAAATTATTGCATTTGGATAATGATGAAATCTAATCATTCTATTTAAATTATAGTTATTTAATTATTTCAGTGATAAAAATGCAGATATTTCGGCAAGTAAGCGAATGAAACCTGAGAGGTAAAATTTTAAATTACTTTAAAAAAATCTAAGCATAGACACTTAGTAATATACACTACAATGAATTTAATACTAAAAATTCTTACCGGTGTATTTTCGGCTCAGCACATTTAAAACCTGAATTGCGTAAATGGTAATTGCTATCCACATATTTGAACTGGTAGCAGAGAAACAAGAAACACAGGTTATGTCCTAAGTTTATCACTCAAGTCTGTATCTCTTAAAGTATATCAATTACTGATTTTCAGATAATAGTGCAGAGTATTTCATTTTTTTGCAGTCAGTCTGATAAATAGAGCTTGTTTTACCGCATTAGCATTTTGTAAAACAGCGAGGAGAACTGCATGTGGTTTACCATTTAATTCTCGATAACTTTATTTTCTTACTTATATTCGCTGTAAAATTTAGAGGAATACTTCAGCATTACTTTTTACTGAATTTTGCTAACATATTTCATTTAAACGCTTAAGCAGGTTGTCATTTTTCTTAGTAAATAACTTTTGCGGCTTTTGCTACAAAATATTAGAGTTATAAAAGGCATTATTGTTAGAGCTCACATCCAATTTTCCGTCAAAAATGTGCCAATGAAATAAAAAGAACGAATAGGCGAATCCAAATAACCTACGTGCAACAAGTTCGCAAAACTAAGACACGTGAATCCACTGATGTCTTTGAAGATTTAACGGAGTTCTTAGCGATGTGCTTTTGGCGCGAAAAAATTGGCACACTGCCCCAGCAGGGTATCGGGAAGGAACTGAAGTCCGTAAACAGACGACCCGTGGTATCTGAAGATCAGCGCTTGCGCAAAGAGCCTTTCCGCAGAGGTGAGGAAAGTCCAACTTGGGGCGGGTGAACAACTTTCACTCGAGTTTCTAAAATTTTGATTTGTTGGCTTGTTCTATCGCAGAAAGAACGGTAACAAGAAAATGGATGAATATATATATGCCTACCTCATTCTCTTTCTATTCTTTACTAGTTGGTGAAAGGAAATTCATTATCTTTTATAAAACTAAGTCCAAACCTACTGTTTTGGTTATATATATAATTATATTAAGTCTTGTTTGAAATTAGTACATATATGCAGAAATACATTGTGTAATTGTATAATAACCAACGCATTCGCCGGCACTCGAACGACGGGCCTCTCGATTACGCGCCGAGCGTGCTGACCATTACACTACGAAGGCGGGAGAAATACCTTATAATATAAACACAGAAAAATATATCTATCGAAGTGCTGTCTAGTGATCGTGAAGGACATCACAACTGATGATCTTTTCTGTAAACTTCTAGAACTTTCTATAAACTTCCAGATAATATCGCACTGATCCTGGCTGATTTGCTGTCGGTATGGACCCACAATGAAAGTAACATAATGTCGTTAAAAACTCAGGTAAGATTTGCTGTCAGTATGAGCTCAAGATGAACGTAACAAAACGTAGTTCAAAAACTAAGATACGATTTCCTGTAAAGTTTGAAGGCATTTCTGGTCAATTAATTAGGTCTCATAGAACATGGCCCTAATAATCTTTCCCCCAAGTATGCAAATGCATGGACGGTCCACAAATGCTTATTGACCGGTGCTCCTGACCTCAGAGGTCTCGCCCCATGAAGAGTTGACCAAGTTTTCCGTTATGGTTGTTATTTCAGTTTAAGAACAATAAAGCTTGAAATATCCCTCTGAACGTTGAAAGGATATGAGAGAATAACAGCTGCGTAATCTTAACTTTGTTTACACTCCAATAGCACCAAAAACATCTGCTTTTGTTACCTACCAATAAATTTCGGTAAGCGTTTATATAGATTGATATATAAACAAATTTAAATTTGTTTATTTAGGCCATACCTGAACGGAAAACATTGCGAGTTCCTCCAATACAGAATTAGTTTGACAATTATAAATACATGTAAACATAAATATTAAAATATATACAATCGTGAATAAAACGTTAAATGTATGGTAAGAGTAAATAAATGATTAATTTAAATTAAATTTTCAAATTGTTCTTTCATTACACCGTTATATAACTTTATATAACATTTCCACTAATGTCCTTTTCGTGACCTTTATTTTAACCACCGTTGGTCGCCCACATGTAATTCTAATCATAAAAAAAATGAAATAACACGTGTATTCACATGTCTCACATGTCCACATCCTAAATTTTAAGCTATGAATTTTGTAAAATTAGGGGGAGAATTTTATAGGTTCTATCGATAACTAAATATTTTCTGGTCCTTTCGTACTAAGAAAAAAAAATTAAAAGAAGATAGAAACCAACCTGGCTTATACCGGTTTGAACTCAAATCATGTAATTATTTAAAAGTCGAACAGACTTTCTATTTAAAAAGGTTGCACCAAAAAGAATATTAATTCTTAATATTAATTAAATAATAATAATAAAATTTACTGAGAAAATTTTTGATCTCCTAATAAAAAATGAAATTTATCATTCTGACTCCATTAACACAAAACCTAACCGAGATATTAGATACTGAAATTGCAAATCATATTTAAGACCGTATACAAATTAAAGAGAGAAATTTTTGCATTTTTACGTAATTCAATATTTATATTAGATTAAAAAACTGTTTTTGATGACAATAAAGTAATTGACGAATATTTCGATGCAAAATACTGTGAAACGTACTGATCGATAGAAATTCTTTCAAAATGGACATGTTATTCAAAGAATCTCATAGGCTTCGCATTCTAGAGAACGATAACAGGTTTAAGTATTAACATGTAGCTAACTCATAATATTGTTTGTATTACTTTACAAATAAAAAGAAAGTTTTTAGTTTGATTAATTCTTGTTAAGATTACCAGATTATGATTCTAAAGAAACAAAACTTTATGAGAGTACTAATAACGCATGTTTAGACTTATCTCGGTCCTAAATATCTCGGTGAATTTTTGTTGTATGGGAGTGAAACTTTGCGTTTTATTTTTTCAAAACGAGTATAAAGTTTTCCTAATATATACATAGGGACTCGTCAATTATATTTCGTATTTAATATAAAAATTATATTTTTTAAATAAAAAAAATATAAAACATGAACCTTTGCTTCATTTAAAGCTTTTGTAGCTGGGAGTATATGTGTATGAACTATGTTAGCTAAAATAAAGACCGCGTTAAAACGTTTTGGAACTTTTGTGGTTGACAAGAAGTATACCTCCCACACACACATGCATGCACGCACATACGCATACACACACACACATATATATATATAACATAAGAAAGAGAGAAAAAGGTAGAGAAAGAGAAAATATGAAAATTCGAGATCTTGTATAAGCAATGTGTATTTAAATGCTATTAATTTCATTCGAAATTCTATGAAATTAATTTATTAAATGAGAAAAGCGATAAGATGTAACATAAATGAGAGGAAAAAACCTTTCTTTAAAAATGAAACGCGAAGCATAAACTTTAAAATCATTCCTAAATGAATGATAATTAGTTAAAAAATATAAAATAAGAACAGTTGACAATTTTTGTTTTTTATGAAGCAGCAGTTGTTAGAATTATAAATACAGCCACATTTTTTAAAATTATGTGTGGACAACTGCAAACGAAAAGCGATTCGAAAGAAAATACGTGCTTTTTATTTTTCAAAAAAAAATTTATATTAAATATTCATTCAAATTAATAATGATGTTTATAAAAATAAATAAATTTAATTATGAAAAAAGTGAAAGAATATCTTTATGGAAAATTTAATAAAAAAAGTTAATGGATCTACTAAAGATTTAAAATTTCGCAAGTGGGAAAGTATAATGTAGAACATAAAGCTAAAAAAATTATGAAATTATTGCAAATGTACAAAAAGGTAAAATATGTGAAAAATTAATGACGGGAGTACAATTTTTTTAAGACGGTTGAAAATACTAGCACAATGGGCATAATGAAGAAACTCAAATTAAAATGCAAAAATAAAATTCAATAAGGCCTTTATTCTTGAATGTTTTCTAAAAATTGATTTCTTTTATTTCATGTAAGATGAACACTTTGAATTCTGATTTAAAAATTAAAACTGGAGATTTCATTACTTCTATACGTTTTTTTCATGCTTAAAGTGTATTTTATGTTTAAGAAGAAAAATTAAGAAATCCAAAGGAAAAAAAAAAACAAGGACAATTTCTGAGTTTTTTTCTTTAAATTCTAAACGTAAAATTGTATAACAAAAAATCATGCATTTTTGTTTCGTCATGCTATAATAGAAGGATAGTCAAATCTCGTATATTTTTCGAACCACATTTAATATGAACTTCGAAATCTGTTAATTATTTGCATGGAAAGAACCTCTTGATTATGTTTTAAACAGAATGCGCAATGATTCTTTACATTTCTTAACTGAACAAACAGATCTGATTTCTTGGAAAGATTCCATTTACACAAAAGCTGCCTCCATATAACATATCTTTATTCTCTTTTAGCAATCTCTAAACACGTTGTCTACAATCATTTGGCTTCAGTTACACTAAGTGAAAAACAGAGTTTAGCTTTCTCAGGCAAACAAAAATGAAAATAAAAATAACACAGTTGTCAGGACTAAGTGTCCTATGCATACTCTTGGCAAAACATATTGGTGACAGTGTCAAGGTCCTGATCTCGAGCAGTGAGCTGAATGCAGCAATGTTCTTGTGAGTGCTAGAAGAACTACGACGTAAGAAGGGTGTAAAATACCTTTTTATTTAAATCACTATTCTCAGCTCGGTAGTGATAACAGAAAAAAATAATGACCGCGCTTGGGTCTAAACTGAGCAATCAAACAAGCTTAAGTAGAAATTTAAATAGTCGCTGTTCTCAGAGCTTACACGCGAGATTTGGCCTATCTATGGTGCGTAGCAAGCCTACACTTCCATAAAAAATACCTACTCGTAAGATCTAATGTGGACATGTACTTTGTGCAGGTAATATTTCGGATTACCTCCTCGATAATAGGTAAAAGATATGCGGGATATTTTGTGACGAAATTTAACTTACGATGGTCTACAGCGAAACGCCACCGCATCGGGTGCGTAATCGGGAACTCGTTGCTTTTCTTGCATAAAACTACTGGGATAGCATAACTGCTAGAAATGTAAGTAATTATTTTATTCTTCAACATTTCCTTAATATGAAATTCAATTATTTCTTCCTTGATCTTATCATATCTATATGGCTTTTGCCTTACTGGTTGGGCATCCCCGGTCTGGATTTCATAACTGGTGTCCTGAGTGAAACCAGGTACATCACTAAATAAATCTGAGAATTCACATACCAAAGCCTGAAATTTTTCTTTCTCTTCTGCCGGCAAATGATGTAGATCAAGCTCCGGGGGCTCATCGTCCTTCTTGTTAACTGGTTGCATCGTGACTGTTAGCTTGGCTCCCTGAAAGTCAGTTATGGCTTCTGCCAATCTGAAAAAGTCCACACAAAGGATAACACATGTTTGCAGGTTTCGCAGAAAATAAAATAAAATTTTTACCTGCTCGTCGTTGGTACGCACAAAAAATGACACATTTCCTAGACATTTACACTTTTCTCCTTGGGCCGCTATAACTTTCGTGTCTTCTGTACTAAAAATTCTATAACGATGGAAGTGTTTCTTGAAAACATTTTCAGAAATGAAGCTGTTTTGTGTCCCTGTATCCAAGAGAGCCGTCGCCGGTTATTATTT